AAAAAAAAAAAAAAACGAACCTGATGTATCAAACCACTGCACTTCGGGCAGCAGTTGTCCTCATTTTCAAAATGCTTCAAAAGGCATGACTTACAAAATGTGTGAAGGCACTCAGTTATTGTGATTGCTTCAACAAAGTACCTAAATAACAAAATAATAAACTCCAAGAATATGGTAATAACCCATAGTGGTTTTTCAATACACAGCTACGCAGCTAATCCAATACGAGCGACATCCTCTATTCCCAATCCCTACCTGCCTAAGTTTCGAAACCTTCCAAAAATTTCACTAAAAGAAACACTGGTGATCAGAACGTCAAAGGCCCATGCTTTATGAACAGAGGCAAGCTAAAAACGGCACTTTAAAGTATAAAATAAAAGAATTAACAAATACCCTTTGCAAATTGGGCATGTAATATGAGGATTCAAAACTTTCAAGACTATTTTGTATTCATCAGGCACTTGCACTGCTTTTTTGGCGGGTATTTTTGAATCCTCGTTCGACTGAGCAAACCTCTTCGACATAACTATGTCCTAAGAGTGGAATAATTTAAGCGTGAATGGAGGTTCCGAATCATAACAGAAAAATGGCTGCAGACCCAAAAAAATTATAGCTGATGTCGTCAAAGTTTTCAAAGATAAACTTAAAGAAAGCAATAAACAGTAAAAACGAGAAGCGACGAAAAAAAACGCATACTGGAAAGCATTCATAGAACACTCAGTTTTAAAACTGCCGGTAAAATAACACTTATTAGTACACTTTCTGCACTGAAAAAGGAATCTTCACAATGTTACGGAAAAAAGGTTCTGGCACAATGATGCAACATCTGTGCTGTGATAAAGCTGTAGAAAACTTCTCCCTTTCATAAATTATGAGAACTGTTTTAGGGTTTTCTTGTCTTAAAATTTTTATTTTTAATAAGAGGATCGGAAAAAACTGCATACAACTTTTAAAATATACAAATAATAGATCATAAAAACAAAGAACATACATCATAACAGCTATTACGAAACACTGTTAGTAACTAAAATGACATGTATAACTAGCATAAATTACGCTTCCAAAAAACAAATCATTTCACCTTTATAACTGCGATACTGTAACAACAACTGTTATAGTGGCTTCAGAAAAGCTGATCAAAAAAAAAACAGTACTAATGATGAGCACCAAAGGAAAAAAACCAACAGAAATCAATGGTTTACTGAAGATCAATAAAATTGCAAAAAAAAATTTTTTTTAAGAGAAAAACTAAGACGAACTGCCTTTGTGGCAAAAATCAGATTACTATCAAAAGAAAAAAAGAATGCAAATATCATCCCATCTAATAAATTATGCAAAAATTTTCGACTTCAAAGACATTCTGTTTTTAGCAGCCTTACACGTACCTATCGTGTTAAAGTTTTGACAAAATCTACTAGCGATTGCAAATGTGAATGTATTCGAAAAGAAACGGGAAAAAAGGCAGAAGGATAAGAACGTACCAGAAATAAAAATGTTCAGAACGCGAAACATCAACGGCGCCAAGCATATCTGAGCTTCGTTAAAAATGGTGGTTACACCAGGCGAACACAAATGATACTCAAAAATCTGCTTTTGGAAAATCGCAAAGTATGAAACCCTCGTTGGCACAGTGCCCAAACGTTTAAATCTTTTACAGCAGCGCTATAGCGATAACAGGCGATCAGTTACTTTTGATCGTGAAAGAGCACTCAAGAAATTGCTGGCAATTAGCCAAACTGTAATAATACAGCAATCTGTATAAACTTCGTACCCACTCTGATATCATATATTGATTATCTTCTTTGAGATGTAGTTTGTGCTGGTCATTCCGGCGTTAAACTGTATAATTTCTTTTTTGCATACTCTAGTTGTTTCTTTTCTTTTTGTTTTTTAAACATTGCTGGTAGGTAGGGTCTAAGGCAGGTTTGGAAAGGAAAAACATGGAAATTCTTCATAAATTTATAACCCATAAAACTGAGGTAAAATTTTTCCTGCATTCTAATCGGCTGAAAGTACCGTTGAAAGTTTGTTACTCT